GTTACTATTTCATCTACAAGGGCCACACATTGATTAACCACTAGGATTTTTAACCCGGCAGGCTTGGATAACTTGCACGTAGAGGCCTAAGAGAGCTACCTGAGAAAATCTATGGCCAACAATTTTAATTTTTAAAAAACCTTCAGCACTGGGGAAATTTCAGAAGACGTGGCAAGTGTGGATGTAGGGTCAATAGATAACTAGATGCCTCTAGGCTGAACATGAATCCCAAACAACTGAGCAGAAAAATCTGATACAGGATTCACTTGACACAAAAATAAATTACAGGAATACAATTTACACCAGGAAACATGACTTTATAGAATAAATGCCATGCCAGCAACTCCAATGTCATCCTTTGATGAGATATGGTTGTTACGGGTAAGAGCAACTGAACACGAACATCAAGTGTGACGCTGTGGCAAAAAGTTCCTACGGTCCTTGGGGGCAAGAGTGGAGGACGGACCCAGCTAGTGGGAGGAGGGAGACAATTCTGCCTCTGATCCTGCCGTTTACATGACTAGTACCAGAATACTACTTCGAGTTCACACGTTTTAGAAAGGATGTTGAGAAACTGCCCGATACTAAGAGCTCAATGTGTTTTGCTTATTTAAAAAAAAGATTATCAAGAAGTGACTTCATTGCAGTGTTAATGACATTCACGGGGATGGAACAGCGTGTGCCGCAGGACTCGTATCTAGAGGGGAGAGGCGTACAAAGAACCAGGGGCTGGAAACTGAAACCAGACCACTTACGGTTAGAAAAAAGATAGGGGGCTTTAGCAGTGCCTGTGCTCTCTCCTGTTCGAACAAACCGTGAAGGCTTCTCCAGGACTCGATGTCTTCCACTCAAGACTGGATGCTTTTCTGGAACATCACCGCGTTCCAGGAAGGGAAAGGCTGCACGTGGTCTCCCATTTCCTGTCTTCTGGGATTCTCCCTAAGGGAGACAAGCAGCCTGGGGGTTGTCAGCGATTAGCTGTCGGCAGCAATGAAAAGCTACAATCCTAGGAGCACATCTGTTGTCTCCAGCCCCTTTTCTATCTCTGGGCCTGTCTCACCAGCAAGAGCACCAGTTCCTCCACCTGCGGACAGAGATGTCCGGGCTTATGAAGGAACAATCCCTTTGTATTCGGGAGATGACACAACAGCAAAGGTTTTGTGTACAGTCTTCACCTTCCCGCAAGTAGAAATTAAACCAAACCTCTCAACTGATGCAACATATTTGTGTAAAGTAGATGCATGATTTTCCTGTCCTGGTCCTGGTCTGGGAAAGTGTGCATGCTGGGATCCTGCCGATGTATTTTAGGGCAATTTTCTGAGATTTTCTCTCTCTCAGAGCTTGTTACTGAGCTAATCCCACCTTTCCTACCAAAGATCAATGTTGCTCCCTCCTCAGTCTGCTCATGCTGCTCTTTGCTCTGCAGGAGACATCGCTAGAGACCGAGAGAAGGTTCTTTTACTCTATAACGACTGAACTCCCGCGGCCTTCCCAGAACCCACAGGGCACCGATACACGTGCAGGGAGGCTGCTCCAACGCACGGTAATTACAGCGCGTCGGAGCAGGCCCAATTAACTGAGTCTGCTGGAGCGTGGTAATTACTGTGCTCCTGCAGACCCCAATGTCGTTATACCAGCGTCCCTGCACTGAAAAACAGTGGTGGGGTGCTTCAAACTTAAGCTCGTTCGATAAGCTTTAGTTCAAAGCACCCCACCGCCATTTTTCAGCGCAGGGATGCTGATGCACATGACGCTCCAGGCACTTCAAACTGGCGCAGCAAGAACTGTGCTAATTAAAGCACCCCGCCATCTCCCAAAGCAGGTCTGTAAATGCCCCCAGTTCTTGTTGGCACGCAAGGAGAAAAGAACAGGAAACCTAAGATCTATGGAGGAAGAATATATTGAGTTAAATTTCTATAAAGAAGTCCATAACCTGTCCTCAGATTCAGAGAAAGAAAAAGACTGAGCTTTAAGGACTAACATGGGCTAGATTTTGGATGAAGACAAATCACCTTGAGGTAAGACTTCGCTTTGGAAGAAACACACATGGCAGCACAAGGTCTGAACTCCCCATGAGCAGCTCCAAGAAACCACAGACATCATTACGACATTAGGTATCAGGTTCTGCCCTGGTTTCCTTTCATTCTTAAGGTTCTCTCCGTATTTAGTGAATCTATCCCTAGACATGCTCCGGCTTAGAAAGAAAACAAGCAAAAAAAGATCTGCTCAAAGAACGTACTTCCCCAGCTATCCAGACCAAGGGAAAAGGATTGAACGCCCTCTAAAAATACACATAAACACCTCTCAATGTTGTGAGGAAACCTCTGCTGGGATTAAAATGACTTTCAAAAATGTTATATTGGAATTACTCATGACTTGTAATTCTTCCAAGTATTATGTCATGGTACTAAATATTTATAAGGACCTTTGTTTTGTTCCTTTTTTACAAATATATTGAAACTAATGAAAAACTACCATCTATATCTTTTTAACATAGTTGCATGGACAGGAAAGTCTGTCCAAGAATTAAAATTAAGTAATGTTTTCAGTCTCTTGGCATTTAGTCCAGAAGCTGTAACAACCATTGACCTTTTCCTTACTGTGCTCTTCATGCCTTCATTTAATGAAGTATGCAAACACATGAGAAACAAGTAAATAAAATTCCTGCTTATTAAACCCTAAGATGCAACAAAGATCTGAAGGCAGACTGTAATGCAAAGCTCAGACTGCACTTTTCTTTTACACGGGAGCATAATGTACAAATGTTCAGTGTGAAAATCTCTCTCACTCCGCAGAGCAACTCTAATACAGGGAGGGAGAAAGATGGAAAAGCACACGTGTTGCGCTATGAGTGCTCTGGTACAAATTCAGTTTCTGTAGCAGATAAGTTGCAGTTGAGAAAAAAATTCTGTAGATACATTTTTTCCGTTTGGAAGACAGTGCCATACATGAAACAGGATTCTGGTATAAAAACAGTGTTCCTAAAATCTGCTTTCAGTCTGATCCAAAAATATAAACTTGTCAAAACCGCAGACAAGGATGATCCTCTGCAGTGAACAGGCTGACGCTGCCTTGGCTTCCCGCGCTGGAGGCTTACCTAAGCAACAGGACAAATTATGAGAGAGAGTCCCTCCAGTTGAAGTCTGTCTGACACACTCAATGCAGCTCTAGCATCACTTCCAGAAGAACATCTGCTCCGCGTGCTATCTCCTCTAGAATAATTGTCTCAGCTAAAGCAGAGTAAAATTCCAAACACGTCCATGCCCTACGTGGCTCCACACTACGTTAGTAATTATGCCAGAGTTTATCACAATTGCCTCATTCCACTTACTGTTTTTGCCTGAGGAACAGTAGTATATTTGCACTGCTCTGAACTGAAGCGGAACAGAACAGCTTTCACAACTTGATGTGATGTTTGGGAGTAGATAGAAAGGGTAATTAAGTGTCTTCAAATCCGTCTGCCTACCGCCTATTCTAGAAGGCCTCTTCTGGGTGCATCTACATGTGCCATCAAGGCAACGTGCCGGAGTCAGCGTTGCTGCTCTCGGGTGCTGTGTCTGCACACGTGCCTGGGACTGCACCAGTTTGAGCAGGGACGGAGCAGCCCCAGGCTGGCAGGGGACTTAGAGGGTCAGGCCCAGGCTCCAGGCAGCAGCGCTGGATGGTGGAGGGGCTGGCTGGGGCACGAGGGTGCTACAGTGCGGAGCTAGGTGCAGGCAGCCCCCACACTTTAGCACCCCCGAGGCCCAGCCAGCCCGTCACTGTCTACATGTGCGCTTCAGCGCACGTAATTACTCTGCCATAGGGTAGCACCTGTGCTCGACAGTAGTATCCTACAGCGCAGTTATTTAATTTACTGCACTCTAATACCAGTGCAAGTGTAGACTGTGATGCTTTACTGCAGAACGAATTAGTTGACTCCGCAGTAAAGTGTACGTGTAGATGCATCCACTCTCCATAACCTATTCTAAAAAGACACTACTTTTCCAACCTAACGCCAAAACAGAATAATCTCTTGTTAGTTTGCCATCTATTTGGTGAAGAAAGCTGTTGATTCCTACATCTGGGAGTACATGCGCCTTACTATTTTTAACAGTATTTGTTCCCTAGTGCTGGGAAGCTAGTCTCCCATAATGACACAGTTCAAGTAGTACTTTTTATTTTCTTTGGTAACGTTACCAAGATCTCTGTCCATCTCCAAATGCAACCCCAGGAGGCTACTGCTGACTCAGCTGTAACCCGGAGAACCTCTTTGACCACCATTCCTGGAAGCAGCTGGCTCAGTTCTGCTCTCTCCATGCTAGCTTAGCTTATTTCTTTACACTCTATTGTATCAAAAAGGTAAAATCCTCCTGCAATCACCTTCACTTTAATTTCTGTCTTTCTTGAACAAACACACACCCTTCAATACATGTGCTCTGGTCATGATGGCTATTCTACCACGATTCTTTATGTCTCCTCTGGAACACCGACGTGTTTTCCTGCATGCTGTACGTCACTTTGAGGCTGGTGACCAGGTTTGCTCTTGACATCACCGTAAGTGTTGCTTTAGGTTTAGCTGCAGTCTGACAACATCAGAATCACTGATGGTGTGTCAGCCTAGCATAATTATTCACTTGCATTTAAAAATGGTTCACGCGATTCTAGCAGCATCAGGTAATTTGACCTGAGTCGTGCAGCGTTCCAATAGAAACACCAGTTTCAGGGTTCCTGAGTATTATTCTCTAAGGAGGGCTACAGTGCAATGAAACACATGAGACTTTTATTAGTTGTTGCCTTTAACTTTTGCAGAGGTCTCATTTTGGAATGACATGAGAGTCACGAGGATAACATCCAGCTGGGGTTTTACTCAGGCCTTGACAATATTAACTCTGTTTAAAAACGTTAAAAAAATACTTACATTTTTGCCAGAGATTTTCTATGCGACTCCTACTCAAAACTAACAGCCAGGCCATCTTTCTATTAAATTGTCTAGAGGTAGAGAAGGAGGTGGTACTTACTTGTAGTTGTCATCTTCAACAAACTTTTGAAGTTCTTCAATGTAGCGAACAGACTTTAAATACTTTTGCACATGGGGTAATGTTGTGAGGTGATCTACAGGGTATAAAAAATGGCCAGGATGAATTTCCACAACTTAAAGAAATAAAAGCAATTCTTCTCTGGTTTCCTCTAATTCTCTTGACTATATTAACAGAAGCAAAACGAGAACTTCACCCTCCCCAGGGAAAAAGTGTCTAGGAATACGATTCTGTTAGACAGTCTGAGAACGTCAGGGATTTGATCACATATCGACTTGATTATTGCGCAGCCCGTAGCTGGGATTCAGCTGCAGACCTCAGCCAGGAGCAGCCAACCTAAAGGAGCCTAGCTCAGACCCTGCTCTAGCATTTTTCAAGGAACCCATTATTTAGGAGATTACAGAGAGGAGTTTGTGGTAATTTATTTTAATCCATTTATTTGAAGGAAGGCATTACAAAATGAATGCATAGAAATAGTGGAGGCCACTGGCGCAGACAAGAGGACCAGGAAAGCTACAACACATTCTTTTATCACTTAAGATGTTAAAAACACCATATTATAACAAGAGCAGTCTGAACATTGCCAATATATTCCAAGTATATAACACTCAAATTAATAACTCATTCCCACATGCAGTGGTGCCCAACGTTTTTGCTCTGCGGGCTGGATGGAAGGTCCCAGTCTGTCCATGGGCCAGGTCTGGCTGGTGGGCCCCATCCAGTACATGGGGCTGATGCAGCTGTGAGGGGAGGGGGTATGCCGCCCAACCCTGATCCATCTCGGGGCGGGGGCAGCGGCCTGGGCCTGGGACACGTGGACGGGGTGGGGATGTGGAGCATCTTGGCCCAATCCAAATATGCGGGGGCAAGCCTGGACCTGATCCTACTGCGTGGAACTGGCCTGGGCGAAGCTAGGTCCAGGTGCGCAGAGCTTCTACCACTCCCCCACTACTGACTCTTCTGATCCGTAGGGATCCCTGCCGGCCACAGGCTGAGCACCCCTGCCCTAAACTGAAAGACTGATAAATGAGTATACCAAAACATTTAGCAGTGAGAATAAAATCAGTCCAGTCTATGAAAAGTAAAATCATGCACAGTTCTTATCGACTGACACTGCTCTTTAGGCCCCTGACAGCTGCAGCCCCACTGACACGCTGAGATTTGTCAGGAAGTTCCTTCCTTACCCTGTCAATAAATTACTTTCAGCACTCCTGACCAAGCCCATTAAAGTTTGTGACATGGGGGGCAAAGATCAGGGCCCGATGATGGAAGTGCCAGGCCTGGTGTACACAGGCACACACACGTGGCCTCCAGCTAATTTTTGAGTCCTAAGAAAAGGTAGTTTTTGAGTTAATTCTCTTGCATTAACTCTCCCTTCAACCCCAGAACAAGAAAACTCTAGTGTTAAAGATGCTGTGATTTTAGCCCATTAATTCTATACATACTCTCAAGGGAGCTTTAATGCTTGCTTCTGGTTTAAACAATGAGAGCTCATGATAAAGTAACAACAGCAGGCTCCATGTTGGCCAAGACCCAAGAAATGATGAATTTCCTGTACAGAGGCTTCACAGAGGGCTGGAATTGTGCTTTTAGCAAGTATGGGTTTTAGGATAAAGGCCTAGCTGACAGCAGAGGCTAAGGGCCCAACGTCAGGGACAAAAGCAGCAGGCTTACGCCTCACACGAGACTATGGGTTTGAACTGTTTCCTTCTACGGGCTGGGCTATATAGGCCCACCGAACAAAACCTTGCTCTGGATCTGTTCAAAAGCACAGCGCTTTACCTCTTTTACAAGTAAAGGTCTTTAACCGCAGAGCATGAAACACTGCTGTCGTTTGGACCTCTTCGGAGGACCCGAGGCCTGGAGGCAGCAGCTCTGTGCACAGGGATGGCTCTTGCAGCAGTGTCTGAAACATCGAATAGGGCTCGCAAAGCAGGCTTTGCAAAGACTGGCCCTATGAAGCTGATCCCTGGAGACCTATAACAGTTATCCAAGAGACTTACCCCTGTGACCAAACGGTCATATTTATTGGGTGAGGCACCAGGAGAGAGATTTAGATGCTACTGAAAAGGAAGAAACAATGGGCAGAGGGGTCTCTGGCCCCAGTGTTTCCAGTAGGTCTGTAAATGTGCTGAAGGCAGTAAATGTTGCTGAGGCTGGAAGCACCACAGGTCAGGTACCAACTACATCAGTACCAGGAAAGTCAGTCCTACGGATATCATACTGGTCTCTTGGCAGAAGGCAGTATACCAAGGTCGCTGAAGTCTGTGGTGAAGAAGAGGATGATGCAAGATAGAAGCAAAGATGACCGTCGAGGTGGAACAGCCCTGAGTTGGAACCGAAGTCACCAAGGTTGGGAAGTCAGATTTTAGAGGACAGTGGTGCAGTTACATGTGTGATCTGGCTGGTACCAGGGATGGTGACTGAAGCTGGGGCACAGTTTAAAAGTGGTGGTCTTTGCTACTCTGGGCATTAGGTGTCAGGGGTCTGATGTACTGTATCAGCAGTTTGCAAGGAGATGCTCAGTCTCTGACCTGCAGACTTGAGAACCAGGAGTGACCGCACCAGTCGCTGGGGCAGTAGCTGCCAGAAGCTTTGACATGGAAGCACTGTCCTTCTTCCAACTTGCCTGAGAGCCATTGCCTTCCTGCAGGTATCTCCCCAGCCATCTGGGTGCACTTCAAGAAGTTTGCAAATGGAGCAATTTTCAGGCTCATTCTACTCTTCAGAACAGAACTGATATATTAAAAGTCCATCATTTAAGAGAACTGAAGATTTAGAGTCTGGCAAGTCGTAAAGCCTTAGACCTCGGCCTCAACTGTAGCGGGCGATACCCCGGGGGTTGAGCAAAGATTCCTTGAAAAGATTAAACGTTTTTCTCCTCACATGCATATGTATGTTCATGTGTTTATTTTATTTTGCAAATGAATTAGCAGGATACTAATTAACTACAGACATGAAGCATACCAAAGAAGCACTAATGACAGGGGTGCAAAGGATGCTGAGGCAGGCAAAGAAGAGACCCAATTTAACTGTCAACCCCAAAGCAAGAGCCTAGACTGCCCAAACCCTTCACTTTTACCTTGTACTGCAGTTGCATTGGTCTAGCAGACCCTAGGCACTATTCCCTATTCACAGGGAATACACGTTATGCTCGTTCCAGCTGCCTAACTTGGTACAGGCAACACCCACTTAGCTCTCTTAATTGGGTCTGGAAAAACTGAGCGTTATCCGGAACCGCGTTAAGTGAAATGTATTTTCCTACAGGAATTAATGTAAATAAATAGCATTTGTTACCAGGGTGCTGTTGGTCCCCTCCATGCCGGGTGGCGGGCACGGGCGGTCACTCCAGGCCGGCTCCCCCTTCTCCCTGCTGGTGCAGCCCAGCCTGGCTCCACAGAGCCCCTGCCAGCCCGGGACCCGTGCTCCTGCTGGCCCTGGCCCTGGCCCTGGCCCCAGGCCATTGGTGCGGGCCCTGCACTCATGGCCGCTCACTCGCTTCCCCACCTGCCGTCGCCACTTCCCCCGCTTTCCTGCCCACTGCTGCCGCTTCTCCCCACCCCGCTGCCCGCCTGCTCAGCACTATCACAACACTCGCTGAGCGCTAAGTGGAATCGGGTATGAATTTTAAATGCATGCTATAGCAAAACTGTACTAAGCGAAACAGCGTTAAGTGGGGGTTGCCTGTATTAAAACTGAAGTTAGACGGTGGTGGTAGCTAGCAAGTTGGTTGTGTAGAACCTTATTTACTTCTATTATCCGCCTGAGTCCTTCTCACAGGAGGAAGACATCTGCTAATAATTTACCATATTACAGAAATATCAGTAAAGATTTTACAATATCAACAAATGGAAAATGACCAACCATAGTTACAGGAGACTTGCAAATCAGCTATTATTCGAAGGATATTGTTCATTTGATTGGATCTTTGTTCATTCTCCATGATGCTGCCTGAGGCAGGATATGCAGAATCAATGTAGATTAAGTCCAAGAGATAAATTCCTGAAATTAAAAACAAATGAAACAGGCATTTTATAAAGAAACAGTTGCATAAGTGACAATAACACAACAAGAACGAACCACCACCTGCCCTTCTGTGTCTGTCCCATTCAATAATGTGGGGGAGGATATTACAAGCAAAGAGCTCGAGATTCGTCTAATCAAAAATGTAGGTGTTGGACTTCAGTTCTGAGACTCCTTTGTAAATGCAGAGAAAAGCTTTAGACAATGTGCACCTGCATGAGGTAGTATTTCCAAAGACAGAACGGGCAGGATTTCAGGGTTTCCGCTCACCAAAAGTGACGTTCACAATGGAAAATACAGTAACCCAAATGTGGGGGAGGAAAGCAGAAAAGTACCCCATGCCTGATGCCACGCGCCGCTGAGCCCCTACCCCACAGAAAAACCCGACGCGCTCGCTGCCCAGCACGGCTCTCCAGATTTGCCACCCTGTGACTGATTTGTGCCACCCTGCATTTCTGGTCACAGCCAATGGTTAGAGTCTTTAGAAAGATTAATGAAAGCAATGCTTTAGCATTGATTATGTGACAAATTCAAGGTGCTTCTACTTGTTACCTTTTAAAAGGGGGTTAATTAGCAGGTCTGGTACTAATCACTGAATTTCTCTACCGGAAAATAACATCTCACATGGGTTTTGCTAGTGTCCTGGCATTTCAACAAGCACAGGAAGGAGCATTATTTACATTTGACTGGGACATTTCACCCAGAAGGATGAAAGGTGCCTTATGGGATGACAGCTAGACAGCCGGGATCAAACGGTGAGCTGCAGTGAGCCTCTGCTACACGGTACGAGGTACATCGGGAACAACCTTCAGTCATCTACTGTCACATTACAGGATCATGTTAAATATCTTTTGACCAATAAGCCATTTTTAACAACAAACACCTGATACAACAACAGTGGTGATAGCAAAGAAAACCAAGTCACCAATAAAGAAACTGCACACCATCTACACCTGTTATCAGGAATAAAACCCCAGCTTCTCTAAGACCAGTTGAACCAGCTCCCTAAGCTGTGCTCAGCAGCAGTGTTTAGCAATGAAACAAGGCGCTTGAAAAGTAAAAGCTGCTCATCTTAGATATGTGGCTAACCAGAAGCCTTGGCCTTCCTGCTTTGGAAACCTTAGTTCAAAGCTTGTGAAAAGAGCCTGGTAGTTTTCAGCAAGTTGCTATAAACACCAAAAAACGCTGTGGTATTTGGTACAGTCAGCTGGTCTAATCACTTTGGCTCAGTTCAGGCTCCGTAACAAAAAGCATGGCATAAGCCGAAGTACATTCACAGACCTGTACAGGGAGGGCAGCTTGCAGAGGCTGCAGCATCCCCGTCATCAGCAGCACCGCAGGCATCTGGCTGTCCTGAAAGTGGCTGAGATCAGAACCGTGCTGCTCCTGCAGTACTCAGGAACGTGCGGGCGACAGCTACAGCAAAGGCAAAGTCCTTGCCGCGTGCAACAGAGAATCAACACGCAGGGGGAGAGGATGGAGAGGAGGCGACAAGGGAGACAGCAGGGAGGTCTTGTAAATCCCGGATCTGAACTCTGGAAAACGGACAGCCACAAGCAAGAGGAGGGGCCTTGTTCCAGCAGTTCCAGAAACTGCTCCAGCACAGCCCCCAATTACTGCATGCGGAAACACGGTGCAAGGCTCACTTATTCACCCAGCACCTCAGTAACAACTGGGACAACTGGCATGGGCAGCAGGGTACTGCTCCTGCCCTTTCCAGCCCTTCTGTATCATTTGTTCCCGTTAAGTAACTTTGTCCAGACAGGGAATAATTATTCGAGGGCTTCTTGGCTGTAACAAGATGCCTCTGCTGGAGAGGCCTGTGCCCAGGGAGAAGACCAGGAGGCACACCGCTGCCGGCTGCTCCGCGGAGCGCGTGGCTTCACCACGTGTGGAGAGTGGCGCATCCTCCGCTGGGAGCCTGCTCCGCTCTGCCAGCACGCGTGGCTGTGACAGTGGGGGGCTCTAAGGCTTCAACCCCGCAGGCACTCTGGGGCAGTGGCCGTGGAGGGCAGCCGTGCTGCCAGAGATGCGTCTCAGCCCTTTCTCCCTTGCACACTGGTGTAACAGCTGCACAGAAGCTCAAGCAAATACAATAAATGAGGCTTAAATTCCCTCCCTTCTCAACAGAAGATGCTACTGGGGACACGTAACAGCTATGCCCATTCACAGCCATCTGCGGAGTGGTGTAACTGGGGCCGGGGCAATAGGGGCAACTGCTCCCGGTGCCGACCTGGGAGGAAGGAGGGGGCCTGTGGCCGGCAGCTGTGTGGTCACATTACCAATTCTGATCCCCAAGTCGCTGCTTCCACTTTGCCCTGGGCACCCAAGCTGTGTCCCCATGCTGCTCATCTGCACAATCTTCTCTATGCTTTTGGAGATCCTTCATTCAGTGTTAATTTATCAGCAAGTATACCTCCAAAGCAGGCCGGAAGTACAGAATCCCTGAGAAAAAATGGTCTTCTCCATTGAAGACATTGAAGAATTACCATCAGTTCAGGAGTTGTGGAAAGGGAGACCATC